CCCCCTAAGAAAGAGCCACTGCTCTGACTTTTTTCACCATGGATTAGTGTTGCCTATTTTAGACCTTCATATAAATGGAGGTGTACAGTATTGCACTCTTTTTTTATTCCCATCCCCCACCCCTTCTCTTTGACAATCATCAGCTTGTTCTATATATCTATAGGTCTGTTCTGTTTTGTTTTGTTTGTTTTCTCTGGATAAATAGCCAGAAGTGGAATTGCTGGGTCGTATGACAGCTCTGATTTTAATTTTTTGAGGAATCTCCATAGTCTTGAACCCTTGTTGCTGGCTTTCTGTTTTCACTCAGGGCTGTCATTTGTGTCCCTCGGTGCAGGTGTTCACTGAGGTCCGAGCGGCAGAGGGGTTGTCCGGGGTCACCCAGCACCTGGGAGCTGGGACCCAGGGCTCCTGGTGTGCAGTGTGCACAACTCAGCATCTCCAACCCTGGCCCCACCCTCTCCTCACAGGGCGAGAGGCTGAGCCACGCTGTGGGCTGTGCTTTTGCTGCCTGCCTGGAGCGGAAACAGCGGCGGGAGAAGGAATGTGGGGTCACGGCTACCTTCGATGCCAGCCGCACCAGCTTTGCCCGCGAGGGCTCCTTCCGCCTGTCTGGGGGTGGGCGGCCCACTGACCGAGAAGCCCCGGACAAGAAGAAAGGTGGGTCTGCCCAGACGGCAGGGCACAGAGTGGGCCCGGCTGCGGGTCCGGTTTGCAGGGAAAGCTGCAGCGGTACAGGGACTCCACAGTTTACAAAGCAGAGCACCAACCACAAAGTTTGGTTACAGTTTATAAAGCTCATTTAGTTAGAGTCCTTTGGGCAATATTCTGCGGGCCACAAATCCCAGCAAAGTTCACAAATGGCTCTATTACCTGCCAACTCAGGGAGGTGCCCAGGCTTTTCAAAGTGTGTACAAAAAAATGAAATAGAAAATACAGAGTAATCAAATGTAGTAAAGATAAGTATAGCTTAATGATGTTTTTATCTCATTTCGTGTATGTTTGTACGTGGAATAGGTTAGCATGTAAAGGTATTTCTTACTCTGGTTGCCATCAAGAAAGTTTAATAAACATCTGATAGACATTCTAGGTGACTGGCAATACCTTTGTAAATTGTAAAAAAAAATTTTCCGACGTAAGTGTATTATATGCTCAGTCACAATGTGACTTAGTTTTTCTTTTATGCAGATTCTAGTTTTAAGATTTTTTGAAAACACTGCTTAAAATTGACAAAGAATTTCCCATTGGGAACTGTTCCAGATTAAAGGAGACTAATGAGATTTGACAAGTATTATTAAATGCAGTGTGTGGTCCTGCACATATGTAATAAAGAACATCTATGAAGGACATGATCTGGACAGTTGGGGAACTGGACTTTGGACTGTAGATTGGCTAATAGTATTGTCCTCATGTTCAGTTCCCCACGTGAGAAATTGTACTGTCGTTGTGTAGGAGACTGTCCTTGTTCTTTGGAGATACATGCTGAAGGCTTGGGGTTAAGTTGTCTGAAAGTTACTCTTTTGTTTTTTTTTAGAATTTCTCTTTATTTTTAAAAAATATATCTGTATTGATTTCAGAGAGGAAGGGAGAGGGAGAGAGAAATAAAAACATCAATGATGAGAGAGAATCACTGATTGGCTGCCTCTTGCTGGGGGTCGGCCCACAACCCAGGCATGTGCCCTGATCGGGAATTGAACCATGACCTCCTGGTTCATAGGTCAAGGCTCAACCACTGAGCCATGCTGGCCACACTGAAAGTTACTCTTAAATGGTAGGGAAAATTATAGAAGGAGGGAGAGAGCACATATGATAACATGTTAACACCGGGACCTTAGGTGAAGAGAACCGGCACGCTTGCCCGGCTGGTGTGGATCAGTGGATTGAGCATTGTCCTGTGCACCAAGAGGTCACTGGTTCAGTTCCCGGTCAGGGCACATGCCCGGGTTGTGGACTCCATACACAGTAGGGGGTGTGCAGGAGACAGCCGATTGATGTTTCTCTCTCATCCATGTTTCTACCTCCTCTCCCTTTCTCTATCTAAATATCAATAAAAACATATTTTTTTTAAAAGATAGGAAACATGCACACTCATTGTTCCATTAAAACATCTTTTCTATAAGTTTAAAATAGTTCTAACAGAAAAGTTAGGAAAGCAACTTTTTTAACTAATTCTTATTGCTTTATCAATAGCATTCTTTTTTAAAAATGTATTTTCATTGATTTCAGAGAGGAAGGAAAAGCATGGAACATTTACTGCCTC